GCTGAACCCAGCCCCCCAGCCCCCCCAGCCCGGCACAGCACCGGCGTAACAGGCACTGGATTAATCAGCGGACAGCACATCATCCCTCCCCGCTGCAATTTTTGGAGGAGTAGTCATAAATAGCCAATCTAAGGCAAATGAGGGGATTTCTCTGCTCTCCCAGGGACACCTGGCACGCACCGGGGTCACCCAGCACTGGCCTTGGCAAAGCCTCTGTGGGATTGCGCAGCCCGGAGATGAGATTAGCAAATTGCCACGTGCCCAGTGCTAATGACAACCACCTAATTAGCGAGGGGGTTCATCCTGGCAGGGCTCACTCTGACCTCCATTGTCTCATGCCAACAGCCGGCAAGTGTGACCGGGGCCAATGTGCTTCCCTGGCCTTTGCCCAGCGTTTTCTTTCCAGGACTGGACAATGAAAATTCCCAGTCAGCTCCTGGGAAACAGAGCTGGCCATGGGGCAAGGAGCAGCCACCAAGTCAAGCCAGGCATGCGTGGCTCCCCCAGCCACAGCCAACCCGACAGCCCCCACAAGCACCAGTGCAGCTGTGATTCAAAGACACTCAAGTATCTCCAACACCATTCCCACATCCACATTTTTCCTAGCTCCTGTCCCAGGATCCACTGCCATGCCTGTGTCCACATGGATCCCCCAGCCCAGGCAGATCTCTGATGGCAGCACTGTGTTTTGGGGTTGGTAAAATGAGCCAGATACTAAAACCCTGCATTTTATGGGTCAGTTTTCAATTTCTTTCCTATTTTATTGGCATTAGGAAAAAACCTAAAGTGATCCCAGCCTTTATCACCTCTGTTTTCCCATGGTGAGGTCCAAGCAGCCTGAGTCATTAACTTGTTGGTACTGAAATGGGAATGGTGCAGGACACGAGTGGAGGGGAGGGATGGTCAGGAGCTGGCACAGAGAGGGGGGAACCAGTGGGAGGAATTTGTGGGACCATTGAGGAGAGTAACAGAGATGTGATCTCCCTGGGCACGGTGGGATGTCCCAGGACACCAATGGACACATCCACCACGGGCAGCCCTCCCAGTGCAGTGAGTTTGATGGTGCTCAGCAGTCCCCCAGCCTATTTCTCCTTCCCAAGTAAAGCAGTCCCAGAGCATCCCAAGGGGAATAATCCCACTTCAACTGGCCTCGGCCATACCTGCAGGAGCAAATCCCGGTGAGATTGATGCAGCAAGAGTGAAGCAGACAGAAACACTCCCTTGGACGACTGGAAGCCCCCAGGACCGAGATCCAAACCCAGACCTCTCTGTGCAGCGAGCAGGGACACAGCTGAGCAGCAGCTCAGGAAACGCTGTGTTTTCCCCCAAATCATGGGAGCCAATTCTTGGCCCTTTTATTTTTGGGGGGGGTCCTGTGTGCCCAGGAAGCCCCCTCTGTGCCCACCCCAGGGGCGGAGAGAGGCACAATGTGCTGGTTTGCACTGGCTGGGGCGGGAGAGGGAGGTAGTGTGGTCGGGGCTGGGGGCTCAGTCCTACCCGGGGGCTGCCGGGTGCCCCCCCAGCCCCACGGGCGCTGCCAGGCGGGAGCAGGGGGCTGAGCCGGGGGGCAGGCTGAGCCGGGGGGGCTGGCGCAGGCAGCGTCACCCCCCTGGCTCCACCCTCTCCCCCCCCCCCCCCAACCCGCGGGGGGCCCCCCGTGCC